CAGATTTGAATTTATTCATCCGCCTAGATTAATAACACCTCGAAATTCAACATCAAGCATAAATTTACTTTCATCCCTAAGAATGAATAATCACGCTTCATCATTTATTAGGCTTCAACAAAACAATATCAAGCTTTGTACGTAGTTCTTTTTGGGTGATATGAATTGTTGAGAATTCAATAGCTTCTGTGTTTTGATCCAAAAGTATGAAACTGCTACACTATATCCACTAGTTTGGTTTTACACAAACTTTGATCATCTAAAAAATGTAGGAACTATTGTATTCAGTTGATCATAGAGATTTTCAAACTGGGCATTGATCGCCAGAAATTAAAACCGATAGAACGTGTTTCCTTTTCGTCAGTACACATTACAATTGGGAAAAATTAATGGCATATTTATTAGGTTTGACTGGAAACGAATACGAATATCAATACAGCAAAATTTTTGAAATTCTTCCTTCATGGTCATTTCGTTTGTTTTCGGAATAACAGTACAATAGGACTGATAAATTTCAGGTGGCAGACTTAGGATATTTCTGTTACTTTAGATAATGCTTTAGTGTACTGATCAATTAAACTGATCAGTTTATCAATGACAACTAATCTGTACACAACTGCATTAGTCGAATAAAATTTGAAATACTCGGTTGTAATTTAACTGAACTTAAAATTCTTATCCAGTTGATTTGGAAATATATGTGAACGGACAGAACAACATCACATTACGGGGTTGTGAAGATTGTTAAGTTACGCATTTTAAATCATGAATCGATCATTGTTAGACCAACATTAGAAATCTGGAAGCACTGGACGGCCGTTTCGTCTTGGTATTGGACTCATCAGCAGTGCGCGTAAGACCGAAGGTTTTGGGTTTGAATCCTGTGAGGTGAAGGAGTCGTGGATGCGCACTGCTGATGAGAACAACATTATTAAAGATCCAATATCACTGGTTTCATTACAATTTTACACTTAAGGTTAACAAGTTCATCTAATCTTTTTATAATGTGTATAAGGAGTCTTCTTAGAAATTAATGTGATAAAACAATGTGAAACTCACCACCCTGGGTAGGAACACAGTATTACCCCTCTGTGTTCGAAAATACTTTGTTCTCATCCTAAAACTTCACAAGTATATTAACATGATCAGGGATCTGAATCCAATTTGTCCCAACAATTAAATATGCTGTGAAATAAATCTTACCTTTGATTTCCATATATTTCGGGTAACTCCTTGAGTGCGACAACCGTTATTAAAAGCGTAATACGGTTTATTTGGGATGGCTTTATTTCAGATATTCATTTAAACAGACAAAATAATAAAGCGTATCTTATAAGAAAATCGAAGAGAAGCGGAGAAGGTGAGTGGGCCAACTCGATTGATGCAGCATGACTGAGTATTTGTAGGCAGACAAAAATCCGCTAGACATGTGATAAGCGAAACAATCAATGCACATCAACACTCAAAATCGACCAAGGTTATAAGTGAATAATTGACAAGGTCGAATTATAACTGCAGAAAGATGGATGCATTGGTCCGTCTATAGGCTGAGATAAGCCATGTGCGATCATACTGGTTGAAGTGTTTTACTCACATAGTTCTTCATCTTCTCACCACATCAACTAGCTTTAAATTTCCTGAAATCACTGTTGTTTGGCTAAAAATCTAGACACGTTTTTGTACTCTGTTTTCAATCCAAATTTTAAATATATTCACTGACGTGGCTATGATGTGAAACGTCGAGACATGCTGAACATCATGCCATTATTTTTTCAAAGGAATATAGTCTAAGTAATTTAATTCATCAAGCCAATCGGACTTAATATTATTCTGTCCTGATTTCTGAAAATCAAGCGGTTATGTGATGTAGATTGTTAGTTGTTCTAAAATGAAATTAAAGACTGCTTCAATTTTCATCATCCCTTCATTTATATGAATGAGTATTCGCCATGTTATGAGTATGTCATAGTATCGATTGGGAGTTACTACTCTTTCACTAGATCGATAAAAAACTGATTTATGCATTATTCATGTTGAATGTTTCTGATAATAGTGAATGTAAATCGAACTCGACATTTTGAAAATCATTATCGATACAATGCAACTGGATGTATTTCAGTCTACTAATGATAGTACTGTAGTGGAACACTTCTACGAAGAAAACGTGATTGGTGAAAAGTAAACATTTATTATTGTACTCGTTTTGTTTAACTGTACCAAAAACACTCACTTGCGCACAACGTTCTTTTTCGCGTTGCTGCCATTTTTCATAACTTACTTCTCTATGTAATGCCTACTTTCTCCTTCAAATAAATATTGCATCATGGATTTATTTCTATAATATGTGACGGGATAGTAATGAATATTTAGTAGTGATTATAGTCGATTTCGACTCGGTCACCACTAAAGTACCATAAGTTAGGATTGAAAACAGCTTAAACCATTCAACTAATATGAAGCTTAGACTGTTAATCATATTTATTAATGTGAATAACGAAACATAGAATCAAGATTGTTTGTTATACGTGATTATACATGAATGTTTATATTAAATTACAAAAAAAATTCGACATCATATGATGTCATTTACTAGGTATAAAATGTTTACAACGTAAATACAACTGTTTGTCAAGATTTCAATTTAAATAAAATCTCACTTAAGATTATTTCATATATTATCTAGTTAGTTATGTATCCGTGATATCTTTTGACAACTTTTTCCCATCGTCAGTAGTCAAAAACAACTTGAAATAAGCCTTAATCTTAAGTTTTCAGTAAGTTGTAAATCGTCAGAGCTTATAAATATATGAAGAGATAGTTCTAGTGTACTTAAGACGATATTGTTGATTGTTCATACTTATATTCATCAATAGTTTGACAGATGCCGATGTTGGAATTTCCAACATTAGATATGAAGACATCATGGAATAACATGGACTTGAAGAAAGGAATGAAAAAGGTGAGAGATTTGTAAATATATGTGTCTTCAATAAAATGGTTATAGGCGGTACCAAATTCCCTTACAAACGCATACACAAAGCTACGTGGGTTTCACCGGATCACATTACGGAGAACCAAGTCGACCAGATCTGCATCAACTAAAAGTTCGGAAGGGCGATGGAGGACGTAAAAACAGAGAGAGGAGCTTAAATAGCTTCAGATCATCACTTAGTGTTTGTCAAGATGAAATTGAAAGTTCCAGACCTCTCATGATCTATTTAAGGAAGAAGAAAACCAGGATACAAGCCGAACACAAAGAAGTAAACAGGCAAGTGAAGAGGAGCATTAAAGCTGATACGCGGAAATCTGTGGAAGATATAGCGATGATAGCAGAAATAGCTGCGAGTGAAGGAAACATGAGACAACTAGACGAAACAACTATGAAGCTGGGGTATAGTAAAGCAAAACGACCATTCAAGGAGAAGGAAAGTATACCAGTCAATGAGATTAAAGAACAGCTGAACTGGTTGATCGAGCATTTTGAAGAGCTTTTAGATGGGACAGCTCTACTGAATCCAAATAACATAGATGCAGAGAACACACACTTTGCCATTAGTGTTGACGCACCAACAGTTGAAGAAATCTGTATGTCCACCAGATAATCAAAGAGTGGTAAGGCACTAGGACCAAGCAGCATATCAGCTGCAGCACATGGAGGTAACTGTGAATATGTTGCACGCTCTGTTCAGAAAAAGGTTTAGTAAGAACCAGTACCAACAGACTAGAAAGAAGGAAACCTCATCAAGATATCAAAGAAAGGAGATCTCAGCAAATATAAGGACTATAGAGAAATCAGTATCCCGAAAAGTTTTCAACAAAGTATTGTTTAACAGGATGAAGTACACGGTAGACGTTCGATATTAACATCAGCAGGTTGGATTCCGTAAGAATCGATCTTGTACCGACCAAATCGTGACAATGTGGATCATTGCTAAGCAATAAATTAAATGCAGCTACAAAGAACTAAACTGCAAGATCGTGCTTTGAGGACAGCTCAAAGAATCATTCAAAGTGACGACCGGTGTCAAAAAAGATTGCTTACTCTCACTCGTTTTCTTTCTTCTGGTGGTTGAGCGAATTATGAAGTCCTCAAAATCGAATGCAGATGAAGGAGGTCAACCTCTGCCTCAAAATAAATAAAGGAAAAATTAATATCCTTCACAGCTAACTGACCAAAGAACTCATCGAGTCGGGAATAGGAAGCAGACACCAAAATAATTGTAAGAAATCATGCAAAGGAAAGCCTAGAATACAGTAGACTGGAGAATCCTAATCGGTGGCCTATGTTCCATGAGAGGTAACAGGCGTAACTAATTACGATTACAAATCACCAGTCAAAATAGTTCAATCTACAGTCATTATGCACTTTTGAATCGCTCATATTGAACCAAGCTGAGACGTTACTCATCAACAGAGACAGAATAAATCGATTTAAAGCGTGTACTATAATTCACCTGTCATCTAGAGAGAAATTTTATATGAGCGTTAGTACCGACGATTTACTGATAATTTACCACACTTATTTACTAAGATTAAGTACAAATAGTTCTTCGATTTTCATTTGTACTCATCCAACTATTCAAATTAATATGAAATACTAGATGTACCTGATTACAAAAGTTTTTACATGATGAGTTGCTTTGAAAACAGTAGAGATATGATAGTAAACAAATTTCTGTCATGATCATTACAGTGAATGTAATGAGTCTAAAGCAGCAACCTGACATTTTATTGAAACAATACTTTCACCCTCAACAATGCACGCACACACACACATTTCTTGTGAAGAGCTATGATTCTAGCTAGTTTTGGTTTACGAAATCTGCCGTTCAGAGGTTGAATATTTTGACTTGACAAACAGACACAGAGTACTTTTATGACTAGTTAACCGTTAGTACAGTTAGTAGCATAGTGTATCAGATATTACACACTTCCAAATCACTAATGAACACACAAAATTATTATGTTATAGCTTCTTAACAATTAGTGTAAAACAACTACATCATTCAATACATATTTGTTAGTTCAGAATATGTAGGTAGTAAACAAGTTTACAATTAGTTATACTTCATTAAAGGTGAAGAGTGAATCCATAAAAATCATCATGTGTACATGAACAATTAACACTGTTCAGTCCACAATTTGATATAAAATTCATCACAAGAGTATATGACTTTTTTGAACAATCAAATCATGTACATCAGACACACATCAATATAAAGGTGAGTATCATACAGAAATTCACAGAGACTATAGAATTTCGTTGACCAGAAAGTCAAATAACTTGACTTTCGTATTCTTGCATTAGGTGACAAGCTTTATGTTGAATATGACTGAATTATACATTTGGTGTTTGGTGTTAAATAAAAAAAGAGCGAAGCGTGAATGGAGAATATTTTTTGCTCAGGATGTAGATTTTCAAAGTGCAATTTACTCTGAACGAGATAGATGTATTGAAATATCTTAGTCTGTCTTTCAACAAACAATAATATTCATCTACCTTTATAATAACATCATGTTGATGTGCTTCAATAAACTCTGAAAACTTGTAAACCGTTGACAATTGTTTCTGAAGTTTCAGTTAGAAAATATAACATTCAAAGAGCATAAATAGCAAGTGATGATAGTTAATGATCACATTATATGATAAATCTGAACCGTTATAATGCCAACAATACTGTTTTGTGGTTTTGAGAGTTGTTTGTTTTACCACCCTTTTTGGAATCATTGGTGATCAGTACTGAAAACTATCAAGATTGTAAAAAAAGTATCCATGCACTTCCCTCTTGTTTTAGCTAGTTCATCAACTCATACCTGATATCAAGTGTGACAAGCAAGTAAAGGCAATCCAATCAATTCCGTTTTTGATAAGTTAAAATAAAATGACAATCGTTTAAAGTAATAGTAATAGTAACAAGATTAATAATGTTAATAGTTTATATACAATAAATAATAATGAAAGCTCTCAATGAGGTATGTTTGTTTATTAATGACAAAGAATTCAAATAGATTGGATTGTATTTTCATAACTGTGTACCATGTGATTTGAAACTTCTTCAGTAGAAGATGTCTCTGATAAAAATTTACAATTCCTATATGTACATCTATGATGATGTTGATGTTGAACATGATGATGATGATGATGATGATGAAGATGATGTTCATGTCCATGACATTTATACTGAAAATCTATGCAATCGGATACTTTTCCAGTGTCTTCAAGTAAACATTTTAATTTATCATGAATTTGTACTGCAGTAGGACGTTGATGTGGATTATAAGACCACATTTGACACATTATCTCCCATAATTCATCGCTCACCAGTAAAGGTCTATCTAATGTAGATGGTGGTATTGATTGTTGATAAGTTGTTTTAATTTTTAACATATGCCGGGAAATCTTCGCATTACAATTGGTACTATTATTATTATTATTATTATTATTATTATTATTTAAATTATGTTCTGCTAATAAATTAACTAATTGTTGAAATGTTTTAATTTCTTGAAATGGTTCACGTTTTTCTAAATGAAATAATTCCCATAACAATAGACCATATTGCCATATATCTGAATTAAAATAAAATGTATGCTGTAACAATGCTTCCGGTGGTAGAATACGTAATGGTAACTTTTTTCTAGGTGTCAATACACGATAATATTCATCAACTAGTTGATTTTCATTCAATTCACTATCAATATTATAGATTGCATCATTTGTCATTCCATTCATTGGGGTCAATTGGACAGCTAAACCAAAATCACTAATTTTCGGTATATAATTATGATTGATTAAAATATTTCTTGTAGCTAAATCTCTATGTATTACATAATTTTTCATTAAATACACAATACCGCATATAATCCCATAAGCAAAACGATACAATTCTTTGACAGTCAATCGATACTCGTCCGATTTCATTTCATCATGTCTACTATTCATTATAGGAAATTTACTTGCCTGAACTTCTTCATAATTCATTAAACTATCGATTAGTTGATGTGAATGACATCGTATAAAATGTGCTAAACTTTTATATTGACAATATTCAAGAATTAAATTGATACCATCCAGTTGGTGTTTGTTTCGTTTTGGTTTACTTTCAATCATGATACCAATCATTCGAATGATATTATCACAATTTGTTAAATTTGATAATATACGTATTTCATTTTTTAAACAAACTAGATGATTATTATCAGTAATATGACTGTTATTAGTATTAGTATGATTGTGAATAGGGCTTCGTTCAATCATTGATGATGATGATGATGACGATGCTTTCATTGCTACAATATAATTATCTGTATCTTCTTTTAATAATATGTCATTAAATCGATTAGTTACTGGATCGGTCTCCTTCATAAATGAACAATGTAACCATGCTTTATACACTGAACCATAATGTCCAGAACCAAGTGAATAATTGGAACGTTTGATAAATTTACGTGGTATCATCCATCTATTGATTTGATTGATAGAATTATTTGTAGTAGTAGTAGTACTATTAGTATTAGTATTAGTAGTATTTGTAGTAGTTGCTGATGTTGTTGTAGTGGTCACTGTTGTGATATCATTCCCCTTGTTCATAGTAGTATTATTAATAGTAGTAAAACCTAACAATTCACTTAATACTTGTTCAGCAGATTTATAATCTTTACTATATGCAGATAGTAAAGATGATGATGACGATTTATATTGATAGGCATGAAAATGATTATATATAGTTTTATATAGAACATTTGGAAGTGATATATCTGAGGAATATTGATTTTTATATCTTATTCTATAATAGAACCATAGAATAATACCAAATATAATCAAAATGAAAATAATTGGTAATAGAATTAAACATAGCCATGAAATGGTATTTTTCATTAGTAATTGTAAATTAATCGTTTCATTTAAATTGATATAAGTAGTATCTAAATAAAGTAGCTTAATTTGTTTAAATGTATAACCTACAGTATTTTTAGCTAAACATTGATAATGTGATTGATTTAAAGTATATTTTGAAATAAGCAATAATGTTGATAGATTATATGTACATGTTTGAATTTGTTGATGATTCGTATTGAAATTAGTAGTATTGAAAAATTGTAGTTTATTTTCATCTTGTAAACATGTATGTATAATTTCCCATTTAGTAAATGATTCATTTTGATTATAAACAGCTTTCATCCATTGTATAGTTGGTTTTGGTGAACCAGTTGCTTGACATATTAATTCAATATGCGTTTTAGTTAAATTATCAATAGGATTACTATGATTTAATAGTAGTATATTGTGTTGTTGTGAATTTAATCGAATTAATTGTACATTTTCAATTGGTTTCAAAATCTCCGGTCTAGTTTGTTTAAATGAATGAATTCCTAGTGAAAATTGTTCATTTTCATAGGAACATTTGAATTGAATAAGTTGATTGTTAAAATGAATTAATTTTCTAATTTTTAATGAATAAGGTGATAATATCCAAAATGTATTATGAGGAGTATTGTGATCATCAGTATGATTTAGTGTATTCATCATACTTAATTCAGGCCATTCATTTGGTTGAAGTTGTTTCGGCTTTGTTTGTAATTTACGTATACATTCTAATTTAATTGATGTACCTTGAACTAAAGAAATTTGTCGATTGTTAGTAATTTGTGAATTGACTTCATAAAATTGTGACGAATTATTGATTTCAATGACAAAATACAATTGTCTTTTCTTTTTGATGCCTTGAATGCGATAATCATTGCCAGTGTTGTTGAATAGATCAACAACATTGAAATCATTAAACCTAGCACATATTTCTTGACCATGAACAAACATTCCTACTTCATAAACACTTGTACACTTGACACATAATTTCTCAGGCCAATAATTTAAATACAAATTGCGTAGATGAGTTATTTTATTAATTTCTTCCCATAATTTTTCTGTTTTATTCAATACAATTTCTGGATAATCCGATCTATCATAAAATGGTATTAATTTGAATATATGTTCAAGTGTTTTATTGTATGTTGTATAATTTCGTGTATGATTATCTACTGAAATAAACCAAGTTACATTATTTGGATAATTATAACCAAGTCTACGAGCTATATTTCTTTCAATGTCATTCGGGACACAATGAATACTGTATTGTTGTGTAATTTGACTTTGAAGATTTTCAACAGTTCTAGACAATTCCAAGATAGATTTGACAATAAATAATTGAAGTGTTCTTTTCATCTGTCCATATCCAATAGATAAATTGATTGTTTGACTGGATGAATTAAGTTTCACTCTTAAAATACATTTCCAATTATCTTTAGTACGAATTAGATTGAGTTGAATTTCCTTCATCATCTGATCAGAACTATCTAGATCATGTTTAATAGGAGTACAGAATGGTTGAGCATCAGTTTCATGTTCCGTCCAAAATGATATATTCAAGTCTAGTGTATTGTTTTTAATAAGAAGACTTAAAGTAGAATTTTCGTTAGATAAGGATCTGTTATCATTTAAGATTTGACATTTACACTGAAAGTTTATATGGAATTTATTAGATAGATGATTCGCGGTTTTCACTATTTGAATTATTCTTCGACTTCGTGGTGCTATTCTATCCGGTGTTGTTACTTCACATAGTATAAATGTGTTATTTGCCGGTTGATGAGTTTCATTTGAATTTCCCGGTAGTTTCAGATCATATTTTGAAAAAGCATAAAGAATTGATAACCTATGAAATGTTTGATGCGTTGTCAAACATTCTGTTCTTTCCCATATACTTTGATCATCAAGTTGATAATGTTCTTGTAATTTAGATATATTGGAAAGTTGTTCGTCATTCTGAAAAAAACAATAATAGTAGGTTTAAAAATATAGTTGAAATAATAATATTTTCTAGAACTGAAGGGTTTCGTTCTCAGTTTCACTTATCTACAAGTCAAAGATTCTACACTGGGAAATTAGCGACTTTTTCTATTGACTGAACAAAAGTAAAACGATTTGAGTATAATTTAGAGCAGAAATAAACTGTAAATCTTTAATTCAGTTCATCAGAAAAAACCATCAAGATTTACTGACTTACTTGATTTAAAGTTTTCCACCTAAAACACAATTTCCCAATTGGTTTATGAACAATATATTTTTGTGTATAACTACCGATACATGTTAAACTTAGCAGTGTAGTTTCTTGCTTTACACGAAATGTTAAAATTTCATTAGAATATTTAACAAACCAATTAATATTTTGTAGAAAAGATTGAGAATGATTTTTTGTATTGAATAATTTATAAGTAGTATGTTCTGATTTGTTGACAGATTGTAAATATAAATGCATTGTTGGCGCAATCACTGGTGATGGCATCGGCCATATTGGTTGAATGATACGTTGTTGATGAATTTGTTGATAATTGCATAACATAAATAACATTATACGTGGAAATTGTGATTTTAAAAGGCATACACCAAAACGATTATCATAATAATATACAATGGAATGTAATCGATTTCTTTCGGATGGTTTGAAAGGATACCATATTTGACGACTTGATTGATGAGGTGTTAATTGATAATCAATGTGAAATATTGAAGCATCTTCTTTAAATGTACTATTTAATCCAGGGCATGGTATAAGCATAGGTTGATCACGGATAACATCCAAACGCACGCTATCCATATTGATTGAATTTGTGTACAGGAAAACGCTACCACAATGTGATGAGGTATTTTTTAACTTTACCAACACATTTGAACTGTTTATTAGTTCATGATGTTTAAATAAACATTGATTTTGTTCATACCATGGACAACATGGACAACAAGATGGTTCATCGGGAAACCAGTTTATTATTCCTATATCATGATCATTTGAAGATTGACAACATTGATATAATCCACGAAAATTAGCACGTAAATTATTATCATCCACTGGTAAACGAATCAAAAGTGTACTTTGATTTTTCGCATGATTTACTTCAACCATAGGTTTAACTTTAAATGGGACTGTTGAAGGAATAAACCATTTAGTACCAAATGAACAGGAAAATCTTACTTCTATCGTATTTATTGGTAAATCATATTTATGATCATGTTCATTTTGTTTTATTTCATAGATTAGCACATTTGTTGATGTTTTTGAAATGGATTTATCAAATAAAAATAAAACGAATACAATTTCTACTAGCATATCGAAGATGTATTTATTGTTCAATTTTCAATATGAATAATTCATTGTTATCATCATTAAATATTTCACTGTTAATTTAGCTGAATGCATTCACTAACATGTATTTAAAACAAATCCAGTATCCAATATTCATATAAGAATAATTGTTTATAACAACACCTAACCAATAAAGTAGTGGTGACATTATTGAATTCTGAAGTGATTATCAAGGTCATCAATAGTATGCATTGTTAATACATTCAAATATTTTGAAATGGGTATACTCGGTGCCGTGGTGAAACGAATGATGATTTAGTTGTATAGTTTTTATATATTTGGTGAGAGTATGAGATTGTGTGCGTTATTAAATGACTTCTATTAACCTTATTAATTATTTTGAATTATATATATATATATATATATATATATATATATATATATATATATATATATATATATATGTAACGATGTATTTTTTTCAGACAAATGTTTATATTAAGATACATATGAACTAATACAGTCATTTTGTGAAGTAGACTTTAGGAATGAATTGAAAAAAAATGCATTAATAATTCGTTCATTGATTATTTATAAAATGTAACTTTTTGAAAATCTCAGTCCCATCACATGAACTCTGTTTAGTTAAGTTAGGATGTTTTTATAACGACTTGAATGACCTTTTTTCTCTAATGTTTTACTGCATTTGTTCAGTCAGTATATGTTCTCTATGGAATGTTGTTTTGTTATAAATTCTCACAGTTGTATGTTATACAGTTGTAGATATAATAAATAACAGTAAAATCAGAGAAATCAACAATCATTCATTGTTAGATGACCATTAGAAACCTGGAAGCACTGAAACACGGCCGTTTAATCTTGGTACGGGATTGATGGTTTCGGTGTGTTAAAAACACTGATCTTCTTAACTTCATTTGAAAAGTCGTACAGTGTGCTCACTAGTGAATAGCTTCGTGAGGAAATTCTCGGATTTCTAGTGAGAAGACGTGATTAGTGGGGTTCAACCCCGTCAGGTTTAGGCAGTAACCAGCAAAAACAAATGGATGAGGTCTCGCAAAATCCCTAGATCAATCAGAGTTAAACATTGACTTCGTTGGATGCCGGTCCAGTGGTCCAGAGGTTGGGAAGTAGCGCACGAGACCGAAGGTCCCGGGCTCGAATCCTGCGAGTTGCAGGAGTCGTGAATGTGCACTGCTGATGAGTCCCATACCAGGAAGAAACGGCCATCCAGTAATCCCAGGTTTCTTATGGTGGTCTAACAATGAGTGATTGATGATTTCAGATGATTTCAAAACGCTGATCTCCATAACTCTAATTGTAAATCAGAGAATACTGCTACCTAATCATCTTCTAACGAATTGATGTAAAGATTAACACAAAAAAAGGTAGTGGTGATTGATAATTAAGTTATTTTTAAATTATACGTAGAAGTAGTGCAACGTGGACTTTTGAACTGTCTTTCTAAAGTTGAAAATGAGTTTTACATCAGATAGTGTCATGATCAGTTAGTGAAGTCTGAATAGGATCTTTCACACAGTAGTGTTCAGTAAAAGTAATATGATTAACATCAATCTGGAACGCTCATAAAAGTGTTGAGTTATTACCATTATAAGTTAATATAAGTTATATTAATTTTAAAGTCGTCTAAAACACTAATATAGTGCATAGAAATTGACGAATAATATTATTATATACTAACACTGGATACTTTGCATATTGTAGCGGTAAATGACCCCTCACTCAACAAAGAATAATTTTTTAACCTGATCCTGTCCTTGTTAATTTCAGTGGACGCAGATCTAGCTGAAAACAATCAGTCAGTTATCTTCACTAGATCATGGTTGACTATGCCATGCTACGTATGTTATATGACAAATAGTAAGCTTGGTTCCACAAAATAGAGTACATCAATTTCTGATTCAGATGAACGGTTGCATCGTGCCTTTCTCGAATTCTGGTTTTAGAGACTTAGAGATCTTTGTGCATTAGGAAGTTCCAGAAAGTAGATTGGTCTAATTCTGCTTAGCCATGACATTTTAATGGTCAATGTTGAATCTGTATTCAATAATCGACATTACTATTCGTGAAATTTGTATCCTTTCATCTTCTGGGCTACTACCGGTTCCAAGCCTGGATAAAAAAGAAGGGTTCCGTGTGAGGTTGACGACCCCATCCCGTAGAAAGCTAAATTGCTTAAAAAACGGTAACCAGAAAACGTAATTCAAACCATTTTAATTCTGCCCTGGGAGTCAGGAGGTCTTCCTACAGAAGAATTATGATGTCTCATGATGAAAGCCAAGTTCTCTCGGAAGTCACGAGGCCAATGACCCATCTCACAACAACATCAACCATTATTTTAGGTACGTGCAATGTTCGAACATTGTGGGAGACTGAAAAACTATTCCAAGTTGCTGCAGAGATGATACGATGCAACCTGGAACTGCTTGGAATCAGTGAAACGCATTGGATACAAGTTCGACAACTGAGACTAGCTTCAGGGGAACTACTGTTATACTCCGGCCATGAAGATGAAGATGCATTGCACACTTGTAGTGGTTTACTTTTTCGAAGGAAACACAACTGCTGAAATATAAACATTTATTATTGTACTTAATTCCGACAGTAATTGTTATATTGTACACCTCTTGTTTATCTGTACTACAGACTATCTCTCACTCGCCAAGTGTGTTATTCCCATTCTCCCCTTCGCACGTCTCCTGCGTGGACGTTAGCTGTTTGTACGCCCTCTTGCCTCGATATTATTTCGATATCACGAGACCAGTATCAAATAAACTTCTTCCTCTGGAATCTATTTCTTACTTGATTCTCTGAGTTCGTGGAGTAACATTTGTTCTCTCGCGAAGAAGTATATCGTACGAATTGCTATACACTGAAGTAGTTGCACTGATGCAGTCCAAACATGCACAGAAGACACTGATAGGATGGGAATCTTATGGACCCAGGATCATCAAAGCATCTTTCAAAACAAACAGAGAGGACGTTACAATGAAAGTCATCCAATGCTATGCACCTACCAACGACTAAAATAACGACGTTAAAGATAAATTCTACGAAAGGCCGCAGTAAATCCTCGACAGATGCTCACTAAAGGATTTGACCATTCTGATGGGAGACCTAAATGCAAAAGTTGGCATGGACAACACTGGATATGAACACATCATGGGACGACATGGACTAGGAGAATGGAACGAAAACGGTGAGAAATTCGCAAACCTATGTGCCATCAACAAACTCGTCAAAGGCGGCATAATATTCACACACGATCGCATACACAAAGCTACATTGATTTTACTAAACCACAATACACATAACCAAATCGATCATATCTGTTTCAACAAAAAGTTCAGAAGGACTATGGAGGACGTGGAAATGAAACTAAAACTGAAGAATCACTGGTCAATGGGGCGGACAACATCCCAAAAGTTTAATATAATCTATGGGATACTGAAACACTCAACGAATTCAAGATAACCCTTAATAATAGGTCCCAGGCTTTGCATGACCTACTTGATGAAAAGGAAACTACCATGGAGAGCATTTGGAAAGTTACCAACGTGTCAGTAGGTTGTGGGCCACAAGAAGTACCATCACAAGGAATACCTCTCTGTTGGTACTCTTGATAAAATTCAAGAAAGAAGAGACACGAAAGAAGCAATCAACATAAGCCAAACAACAGCAGAGAAAGCCAAGGCACAAGCTGAATACATAGCAACAAACAAGCAAATGAATAGGCGCATCAGAGCTGAAAAATGCTAATATATGGAAGATCTAGCAATGACTGCGGAAAAGGCTGCAAAAGAAGGGCACATGAGACAATTATACGATACAACAAAGCAGCTAAATGGAGACCGTCGGAAGCCAGAACGACCAGTGAAAAGCAAGGAAGGCGAAGTAATCAGCAACATTGAGGAACAGAGAAACGGGTGGACAGAGCATTTTAAATAAATCCTGAATCGACAAGCTCCACTGAAACTAACCGAAATCGAAGCAGAATAAACGGACTTACCAATCGATGTTGGCCCACCAACAGTTGAAGAGATCAGTATAGCCATCAAACAAATCAATAGTGAAAAATCAGCTGGACCAGACAACACTCCAGCAGAGGCAACGAAAGCAGACGTGGCAGCAGCTGAAAGATTCTCCACATATTCTTCAACAAGATTTGGGATGAAGAACAAGTACTAACAGACTGGAAACAAGGATACCTGATCGTGTACCTCCAAGTTTCAACATCACGGATCATGTAGGAACATTCGATTGCATGGAACTCACTACTCTACATCAACTTCATTGAATACGAGAAAGCATTTGATAGTGTGAAAACGACAATACTATGGAGGCTCCTACGACACCATGGCGTGCTTGATAAGATAGTCAATATCATATGGAATTCTTACAATGAATTAGACTGCAAAATTGTTCATGGATGACAGCTGACACACTCGTTCAAGGTTAAGACCGGTGTGAGGTAAGGTTGATTGCTCTCACCGTTTCTCTTTCTGTTGGTGATCGACTGGATTATGACGTGGATTAAGACGTCAGCATCTGGAGAGAAGCACAATCTACAGCGGACTGTCAGGATGCAGGTTAACGGTATGAATTTTGCAGATGACCTGACTCTTCTATCCCACAAACAACAACCAATGCAAGAGGAGACAACCAGTGTAGCAGCGGCAACCTCTGCAGCAGTAGGTCTCAACATACATAAAGGGAAAAGCAAGATTCTCCGATGCAACACAACATGCGCCTACCAAATCACACGACTAAGAAACTTTGGGAGATGTGAAAGCCTTTATTCATCTGGTCAGCATCACTGACAAACAAGGTGGATCTAATGCAGATGTGGAGGCGCGGATCGGCAAGCAAGGGATAAATTTCTACGACTAAAAAACATCTGGAACTCTAAACACATATCAACCAAAACCGAAGTCACAACTTTCAATACAGAAATACAGAAATTAGGTAGATGCTTACGTTGTAATATGGGGCTATCCTTCAACTCAGTTGAAGAAACAAGCATGGTAACTTTCATGTTGGCAGGTTATCGTGCCTGGTGAAATCAAAACTGTTTTATTTGTTCGTTGTTTCTTTAATATCTACTGCGAAAATATGGTAGACATTAAATTAGTCAGACTAAAACTAAGTACTTAAGCTTAACCCACACTCAATATTCTGACTATATTAACAAGGAGAATGAAACATAGGGGTGGTGTTGCCCCATGTGAGGCATGGGTAACCTGCCAGGGATATCCAGCCAACTGCTTTTCAACTTTTGTCAAGTTCTGTTCAATCTTTTGATATCTACTTTCAGTTTATGGCTTCATATGTTGCTTGGTCAGTCTCACTTACTTTTGCTTTGAAAACTCTAAGTTCGGGCGTAACCTTTCTCTTTTTATTTCAATTTTTTGTCTACGACCATTGCCTTGTCGACTTCAGTCAATCTTCGCGAGAGCTGGCCTTATCACCCACGCTCTTGTCAATGTACTCAGTCGATGTCCTGGTTCCAAATGTATCTGGCATACGCATGCTTTCGAACTTGGTCGTTCTGGTCGTTTCTGGCTCCCTCGCTCAATCTGTTTCCGTCGTACGTCTACAGATTTTTCTGGTACGGACTCATACGAACACAATCTTCAAACTCTGGATACGAGCCACGCCCGCCAACTCGAGCAGCAAACCTGGCACGTTACTACTGGTACAGTTCAACGTAAAAGACTTTCATTGACAACTCTAGCTTAACTGGTTGCCTCCCGTTCGTCAACCCTTCCGCACTACATTCGCACGTTGGCCGACCAGTTCCCCCTCCGCACGAAGCTACTACGTATCGAAAGTGTGAACCCTATCTAAGGGGGCTGCTGTAGTGGAACACTTCTACGAAGAAAACTCGACTGGTGGAAAATAAACATTTACTATTGTACTCGTTTTGTTCAACTGTACGAACAACACTGACTTGCGGGCAGCGTTCTTTTACGCGTTCCGGCGATGTTTAATAATTTTCTGCTCTATGAAATGCCTACTTTCTCCTTCAAGTAAATATTGGACCATGGATTTATTTCTATAATATGTGACGGGATAGTGATGAATATTTAGTAGTCAATTTCGACTCGGTCACCGCTAAACGTTTATGATCCTGGGTCTACGAGATTTACAACTTATCATTGTCTTTTCTTATTGTTTGGACAGCATCAGAGCAACTCCTTGTGTGCTTGAGGCATTCAATTCTTTTGTGGCCGGACTGTATCAGCAGCTCTCATTGTTACGGGAGAAATGAAGACATTTTGCTGATCAAAACCTTTATATAAATATCAATAATTTCACTGTGTTTTTTTTGGGTATATTTGTTTTGCTTAACTTATGAACTTGTTTGAATTATTACTTTCGGCCATTTTGGACTCCTGTTTGTCTCGGTTGTTCGTTTGCAGTTTTTTGCTCCAAGAATCTATAAAATAGAAGAACGACATTGGTCGTCTATTTGTAATAAACAAACACATTTTGGTCGATTATTTGTGAATTGGTAATAAACTTTGGTACCTACTTTGGAGTTTCCTTTTGGTTTAATCCTTGGGATCGTGAATTGCAAATAGATCGACACACAGTGCTTCTAAGGATCAAAGAGCAAAAAATTGGACGTAACACTCATGAAGCTAGTATTAGTTGTCCAAACAGCCTCCAATGGGTTTCACTGATTCAAAACACTTCCCAGTTGTATCTTTTCATTTCTTCACCACTTGGAATGGTCTTCCGGTCTCCCACAATGTTTGGACTTTCCATGTACCTAAATAATGGTTTTTGTTGTTGTGAGAAGAGGCATGGCCTCTTGACTTCCGAAAGAACTCGGCTGTTACCGTGAGAAATCATAACTCTTCTGAATGGAGACCTTTTAACTTCCAGGGCAGAGTTAAAGTGGTTTGAATTATTTTCTGTGGCCAGAGTTTATTGAGGTATTTAGTTTTCTCTGGGTTAACTAGCCAATCCTACCAACCCTTTTTTATCCGAGCTAAGTACCGGTAGTAGCTCCAGGGTGGCTCCAGGCGGAGTTGAATTTCAAAGAGCGTTTACTTAAAAGGTGTATATTGGATCCTAAACTCCTGCAAATGTAAAATCTTAGCACGTTTCTTAGAGACGACGAACCTAAATGAGGCTGAGATGACTACTAATGGTGACTATATGTTGTGTATGTTGCTCACCTATATTTTGAGTTATATCTCATAGAAGGAATTCTATGCAGTTGACTTATTATAAACTATCAATGTCAATATAATCGTCTTCATCAACTGTTAATAAGTTTGTTTAACGCAAGCCTCGCAACTAAATTTCTTGTAACCAATACCTAGAGATTTTAATTTTCATTTTGCCTTCAGTTTAGCACTCTTCATTTCGACCATGGAAACTTTAATAGTAAGGTTTTCGTTGACATGAGTTGTTGTGATTATAAGCATGAGAGAAGGTAGGCTCTACTCTTCATGCAGTGATAAAGCATAAAAAGAATATCTGAGCTTTTTCGAATTCGTCTACCGTTAGTGTGATATTGATTTCTTCATACGGTGCTAAGATGCAATATTTGCTTTGGTTTATGTACGAAGGTAAGCTTTTTGGGTATTCCATCTATTCCTTAACAAGCTTTTCTCCATGTGATTTCCTCTACTGGCGTACAGCTGAACCACATATATTTCTGGCTCCTCGACAGTTATTTGGTCTCATCAGTACCTATTAGCATAAATCTCCCACCCAGTCCTATTATTTTACTTGGAAAATTTTGAACCTGAGCAATAAAGTGAAGTTGATCGAATAACTTGATCCTTATTTTCGGGAACTCATGTTGCTCTAACTTTTACGAGTAAATCAATAAATCATTCCAAGCTTTTTCAACAAGGGACTCCTGTTTTATAGTTTTCTCTACTGGAAATGCTGAGTGTATGTTTCACCTCATATTTCCTTTTCCAATGTTTGATCTGGGATAGGACGATACATCGTTGCTGACAATGATATGGAAAACTCAGAACCATACAGTAACTTGTACATCAAGTTTGTATGTAATCTAGATTTTTTATGTCGCATGGAAAAAGGATAAACATACAATTTAGTGCAGGTTATTTGGAGTTCAGGTTATACCAAGATAACTCTTTCATATGCTGTATAGGAGGTTGTACAAAAATCTCATCAACTAGTTTTTGAATCACCATCATCATTCAAAAATTTACACTTTTAAAGTCCGTTTCATTGGCATATAATCTTGGTTTTCCTTAACCTTCAACTTCTCTCTTCATCATGCAGTCAGCGATAAACATATTTTTTTGAACAGATATCCTGGTCCCATTCGTTTGTGTCCTATCTGTATTACGAAATCACTTTCAATAGGAAATTTGAATGCCATCTTTAGCCGGTTGAGTGGACGAATCAGTATATTGTCATTTCCGAAAAGAATTATATACTGAGGTTTCTAAATTTACTCGGTTCGATGAATGATAACCGGTCGGTTACAATAACCAGCTTCGACTCCTCAACCATGTCAGACGAAACTGGCTCTTCTGCATCGACACTTAGTCTCTTCATACTGTCCATTTGTACCGTACATCAATTTTGACTGCAGTTCCGATCACGGTTGCTCTCCTTAAATTTAGTTATTGTAAAAACTTTTCTAGTTGAGTGTCTGATTCAATGTTTTCGGCGTTCATCCTGCCAGAAACTGTATGGCCCGACAAATGGGTTTGCGAATCGTTTCCTAAATTCTTCGATTTGAATGGCAGATAACAGAAAGCATCTGCTTCCTGATATCACAGTTCTGGACGACCTCTTTAAACTTTGCCTATCTTCTTAGCCCATGTGTTTAAGTTCTTTTCAAGCTTATTGGAAATAAGTCTTCATTAATTTATGAACTGAAAGAGTAATCAAAATTAGAATAATTTTAGATGCACTTGTCGATGTGCTTTTTAGAAGCTTCCAAATACAAGCAATACGCGTTTGAACAGGTCTTGCCAGATTTTCGGGACTGTTGGATTTATAGTTCGATCAGATTTCGTATTGCCACTCTCCACACTTATCGAACTGCCTGCCGCTATCTACCGATAGCTCAATCTCATTATACCATTCACTCATCAATCAAAAGCTTTCAAATACCTCAAACAAAAATAGATACGAAAAGTGAAGACTTGGAAAATCGGACCTCAAGTTAGCAGTTAAGTTAAAAACGTTCACTGAACAGAAAGTGATTTGGAATTATTAGTCTCCCATAGTGGAAGTTGGAACAGCAGATATATTGTTTTCAGTTAGATCGTCATGACGCTTTACTCTAATATACATGGATATAAATATAAAAATGTTGAACCAATCAAGGCAATTTGGGTCATTAATCACAATGAAATGAAATAGATTACGTCACTAGACATAATACGTAAAAGTCCAAGTAATATACTTCATCAAGACACCGGATACAAGCATTGTAACAGCGACATAACTTTTTCATGTTTACGGAAGACGCAGTACGATAGTGACGAAATTCTCGTAAAACTAACAGTTATGTCTTTTAGCACGATAATTTTTTATAGTTGTACATTGAGTGGTTGTACATAGTTAAGTGAGGTCAACTTGCAGCACAGTTTTGACCTTGTAGGTCGAATGTAGTACAAACATCTGTTTTGTGATGGATCTAATCGAAACAAATAACTTTTTTATAATCGTCAATGGAAGTCAAGCATTATATTGCGATCGTCTAGTTGGAAAGCTTACTATTAGACATGGTAAGTACAGTTAAGTGAAAATGTGGTACACTACCTTAACGATTTCTTGCGACGATGACTGAAGTAATTGAATATATTCTTTACTGTAACTCTTTGGGAGATTTATTAAAATTAGAGCCTGACGCTTTTTCTAAATAATTAGCCTTTTTATTTGTATTTGTATGAGAGCATGTGTCACTCGTTCAATCTTCACTACCAATTAATAAACTGAATTATCCTTTTATTTATTAAGTCTTGAAATCTTACTCTTGTCAGCGTTAGAATCTCATCTGTTTTATTTTCCAAATTGCAACTAACTGATCTACAGCTTGGTAATGTGGTGGTTGCTGGTATCCAGTAACCCTACTGCCCTGAAACAAACGTATTCCTCGAAATCACTGCACATGCAGACTCACAAACAACTGCCAATTGACTATAACTAGACATTCAAGTGGCTAGATCCTCATTAATTGGATACTATCAAACACCTGGAACCTTAACGAATGAACAATAATCGAGCTCAAATAAATCAATTCGTTTATACTAGGTCGTGTATAAGATGTTGTATTACTGTATAGCTACCAGTCGGTTGTTGGACGTACGTAACACATGTCCAAACCAGCTCAACTGATGAAGTTTCACTACTTCATCTATTGGTCTGCTATCCTTACCTAATACTCGTTCCCTAACAAAAGCATTGCCTATTCGGTTGTCCCAGAATATACGGGCAATGCTTCGAAGACACCTACAGTCGAATACTAGTAGCTTACAAATATTCTCTAATTTAACTGACCATGTTTCACACCGATAAAATAGAATAGAGCGAACTACTGCACATTAGGTTTGTCCTTTGGTTAGCAGACGGATATTTCGCCTACGCCTCAAGTGGTGCAAGTTGGTAAAAGCCAATCGAGCCTTCTGTATTCATGCTGAGATTTGGTCACGCACTTGTACATCAGCACTGATGAGACTCCCAAGATAAGCGAAGCGGTCGAAACGCTCAACCGCTTCACTCCCTATCACTTGTCCAGGTGCTGACGCAAGCCAATCCTGAAGCAACAATTTGCATTTCGAGAGAGAGTCGCATCCCGAAAATGCTTGCATTGTTGCTAAGGCTGATCAAAAGATTATTTTATGAGCTTCACCAAATAGGACTGTTTCATCGGCATATCCGTAGTCGACAAGTGGATCTGTCGGTAAAATTCCAACTCCTGAAAATTCAGACTTTAAAAGTGTCATCTTTAAAAGCATTTTCATAACAAAGTTGAATAAAAGTGAGAAAGTGGGCATCCCTGAGGGACACCACTTGAAGTAATCAATTCTGTTTGCAGTTCTCCATAAGCTCTCACTCGACAAGTGGTGTTTGAGTTGAGAGCTTGTACAAGGTTAATGTACTTTTTTGGTACACTGCCACAGAACCTCACGGTTAACAGAGTCAAATGCTGTCTTAAGTTTCAGGAAGACAACTGTTGTCGGACGCTGAAACGTGTATCTTTGTTCTAGGACCTGATGAAGTGTGAATATCTGGTCTATGTAGCCACGTCCAGGTGTGAATCCAGTCCGATTTTATTTTGTCTGTTCTTCACGAGCTGTAGTTAGGCATTTAAGGATTATCGAGGCTAACAATTTAGGAACTCTATTAGTTAGACCGATTCCCCTGTGATTGTCACTGGATCACCATCCTCAAAACCTCAGTGGTTAATCAACTAGGTCCTGCGACTCTATCTTGCCTTAGATTGCCTTTAACCTTTTATACCGCTCTAAGAGTTGCATGACTCACACCAACTTGCCATTCAGGTTGCTTGGAGATGGTGGGTAGTTAACGTGTTGCTGATGGATAATTGAACTGTTCCTTAGAGTGTTCTGTCCATTCAATGAAACTCCCGGGTTAAGAATGATTAACAGTCCCACCCTTTTCCGAGATAGACTGATTAACAGTCGAATGTCTAATACCTGTTTCCCTGATAAGTCTGAATTGCTGTCTACTGTTGCCTATTGCTGCTGCCTTTTCTATTTCTTACGCTTTCGCTACCCACCACTGTTTGCGCTAATTGTGTAAGCTTCCTATCAGCCTGCGCTTAGGCTTACTCCTCTCCTCATCATGTTCAGAGCCAGTTCGGATGAGCATCTGTCAGTTCAGTAGATGCTACTGAAATCCACTAATTCTCCAGAACCTTATGGTTTTTTATACTGACAGATATCACTGCTGTTTCCACAGTTTTTTGATATTATTCCAAGCCGAATCGGGGTAGCTGGCTAACTTTTTTCCTAGTTACTCCTCGAATGTGCTCTTGGATTTGCTATCGTTATGTAGAACCTTAAGAAGTTTGTTTGCTGTTTCTTTCCTGGATCCAGTAAAACGCAGACAAGTACGCACCCGTACTAGAGCACGATCTGAATCTAAACATGTGCTCAAGAATGACCGGCAGTCTGCTATCGAGCCTCTCCATCGGTGGCTGATATCAATGTAGTCTAATTGGGTCGATTTTGGGAATATCAATTTCAAGAAATGTCTTTCCTTATGCTTCAAGTTAGTATTTGCTAGAAATAGGCGGTTATCTTAGCATAGTTACAGCACACGGTCGCCATTGTCTGTTAGATCAGCTGCCACACCATGAGATCCATCCAGGTATCTTTCATTTTCACTTAGTCTATCTACTTAAGCATTGAAGTCACCATCCTCTATTACTACATCTAAGCGCTTAATTTTTGAAGGAGGTTGAAGACCGTTCTGTAAAATTCATCTTTCACTCCATCTGAGCTGCAGTCACTGGGAGCGCAGGCAGAGACAACCAAGAGGCAGCAGCAAGTGTCCCAATCTTTCCGAGTCTTTACTGTCCCGTTTAGTCGGACAGCACACAAGCGACTATCTACTGGGATCCAGTCTAAGAGAGCTAGTTCTGCCCTAGTAATTAGTGTAATAATTACACCTGTGAGGCCACAGGAAGCACAAGTGGGGCTACCAGTTGCACAAATTATAGATTGTGTTCGTTCTTTATCTTGGCAAAGTGTGGTCGAACGAATGATTCTACTCGGATCCTCTATGCGCGTTTCGTTGGCACGAGAATCGAGGGTCCTAGCTAATGAAGTCTGTTGTCCTATTTGGAACAAGATTCAATTATTGAAATCTCCAACACATAGTTTAGAGCGTGGTTTCAGGGGACCAGGAATACTCGAATCTTTAGTATCAGAGGCCTCAGGTGATAAAGGAATGTGGGAAGGTTTGATCATGAAGGTAAGAGATTTATTAAGAGGTGTAGGGAGGATTTTATTATGACCAATTCGGTCTCGTTTGCTGTCACAAGTATGAGGGTAGTTGTCACTTCCTAGCTGCCTACACAGTGGAAGGGGACTGAAAAAATCGGGTTAGCGTTGGTCTGAGCGACCTGGCAGCGTGGTCGCAGAGACCGAGGGACAACTGGTTTCGGGCGGTCATTCATGGCCTTTTTATTTAAAGGTTTTAAAGTGTCAGCTCCGCTCTTCAATCAGCCTTACCACCGTAGACGGAAATCCGTGAGGTAAAGTGAGGTGTGACATTTGTAGGGTCGACATTTTCTAACCCCTCCCCTCCTTGTGAGAAGGCAGCATCGCTGCAAATGCGGGTTGTCCGAGGGAAACACTTTACGGCTGTCACACCCCTCTACAGTCAGCAGTACGACTTCGCACTCAGAGATTTTGTTGCTACTTTTAGTCTTATCGTTCTCCAATCAACCTGCTTAACATGATAGAAACTACAGCAACATATATTCCAGCCAATATATCTCGGTTTGGTCATCACGATAGGCAAGCCCGACCACCACGTCAAGGTAGCAGCTACGGTCGGGTATTTATATATAAATCTACAAAATTTTCAATTCTATTCATTATCTTCCAGATGAATATTCACAGTAATAAGTGGGACTTTTCGGCTCACATGCTCAGTAGTTTAATTTGATAAACATGTGATTAAGGTACTCGGTTGCCTCTTATTTTAATTACTTCTTATATATGTTCTTAGCGTCCGATGTATTTAACGAGTGGAATCCTATTTGTTTGGGCAAAATTGACGGCGTCATTGGGAAAATTCGTTATCATTCAGGTAGGTAAATTCTGTAATAATTATCATTTTATAAACAATACCAAGTGACAACTCGATAATTTAAAAGTTAAGTTTTATATACTTAACTTTAATCTAATAATACTTACTATCCGGGTGGTTAAACTGAAGTTAGTGAGAAAACATGATCACTCTTTCATTGCAATCCCAAAAAAATAATGGTTGTTTGTACAAAACGACTGAATAGTTTATGTATAAATCATTTTTAAAGAATAGTGGAAATGGTCCTCGAGGTTTACAGATCGAAGGTTTTTGGAAGCGAGGGGAGGTATGTTTTGCCGAGCAAGTAAACAAATTTATTTACAAAACGTCTTATAAAATAGCACTGGTGATTTCGATTCAATGATTTTTAATCGATTGGTACAAGTGACTTGGTTCTTACTGTATGTCCTCTTCACAGACTTGAAAAATAACTTTGTTTCAAGTAAAACTTAACTTTCCAAAGTCTTCGTTAATAAAATTGGGCGTGATGGTAATTAGTGGATAAGTATTCATTCTGAAAATAGTCTTCATTGAAAACTACAATGTACTTACTGCACAGCTGTCTTGACTTAGTTCGAAGATGCTCAGAACTTCACACTCATAGTGTGGTAGATCGAAATAGTGATAGAGTTATTACGAAAAGTGTGGAAACAATTAATAATGCACTAAAATATAAATGCACATAAAACATTAGACATTACTTATATCATCATTTAAAAAGCATGTTTGGGGTTTCGGTCTCGTAATCCACAATTATAACAAGTAATCAATAATTCCAAATTCGATATATATGTAGTCCAAGATAATATTTATCAGGAATATTTGAGTAATAAGAATACCAATGTGATCTGTAAATGTAGATAGTAATTATATTAAAGATCTTTTAACGTGGCAGCTGGTTAAGAGAAAACGAGAAGCATTTGTAAGCGATAATCGGTATGTCATGCAAGCGGAGAGAAAATCAGTGGCAGTAAAATCAAGGTTAAATTGAATTACCAGTTTTCCAGTCAATAACAGTGATTGTGCAAATGAAGTGAAATAACGAGAATTGTGAATGATGACAAAAATTGTCTAAAAAATAAGTCATTGTTAGTTAGTTGAACAACAAAAAGTGTTCACATTATCTATGTAACAACTATCGGGGGATAAATCTTATACTGATTGAATACAAAATATTGGCTTCTGTCATACTTCACAAATAGTTCAAAAACCAAGAAAGGTTGACTCGCAAGCAGCAAGCTAGTTTTCTTTCTGGTCGAGAATGTATTGATCAAACGTTTGAACGTTGCCCTGCTTATCAAAGATCGACAATTGCTTTGCTTCTTGACATTAAGGCCACCTTCGATTCGTCAAACAGAACGGTTATTTGGGATTGTCTATTGAAGATGAGCGTATCTAAGTTTGTTATCATCCTAAAAGCTGTATATACAAACACCTCAGACAGAGTAAAGCCATACAACTACCTCTCTCCATTGTTGCATCCAAGCAGTGGGGTTAGATAGGCTTACGCAGCCCCACCATTCCCCTTCAATTTCCCCAAGGATGACGTCCTGGAAACAGCTCTGATTGATGTTGCCAATGATAGTGTGGATCTGTTATCTGGAAAAAAACTTTTCAACTCCGATTATAAGGATAACATAGTCTTACTGTGCAATGATAGACGAGCCATGCAATCCTCAACTAATCAGTTAGCTATCACTTCACATATAATGAAAACCAGAGCGGTTCATGCTAGTCTAGACCATCTTTGGTGCCTTCGTGGTGTTAGTCAAGCTGTAAAAGTTCACGTCTACAATGCATCACTGAGAGCAGTTTTGCTCTAGGTTTGGCAACGTTTGTTCGGATTCACCAATTATAGTTTAAGTACTGACTTCGGTGGCTCGGAACTGTGCTATGAATCTCGTCTCAGTGAATTCAACATCGCGCATCATTTGCCAGATCTAGTTGGAAAAAGTGGATAGGTGGTTAGTGTATAACATGGTATTGCAGTAGGAAAGAAAGCTGTACAGGACATGGCATCTGTTTGTCTTTTACAACTCCCTAGTCGATGTCCTATAGATTGTGCAACTCAGTGGCTCCATTCATTATCAGACATGGCTCAGAGTTAGTGCCAATGGCGGTCGTGCAGTGACTGTTTTTCACTTTTTTCAAATGAGTAGAACGAACTTCTTTAACTGAATAGATTCTTTATGATTGTATTTTTCCCAACTAGACTATTTCTCATACTACCATCGTTATTATTTCACTCACCCGTTAATTTCTACTCATTTTCTTCTTATACTCACCGTTGTTTCTCTATCCTTTCACAAACTCATTTTTATAATGCAGCTCATAATATATATTTTTGTGCCTTCTTGTACCAATCTGTTTTGAATGAATAAAAAATCTCTACAACAGCATATAACCAATAGCTTTAACATTTCTCAGCGAATATAAAACCAATCAGCTCATTCATCACTATTACTGAATAATAACAAGTCTTAAAATAGGACAAAACATTTGTCCAATACTCCTTAGGTTTTAATAGTTTTCCAATTTATAACAGAACCTGGTGAGAACTACCTTCAAACTAAGTGAACATTCAGTCCATCTCATTACTCGGTCGTTGTCAATGTTAGAACCTTGCAATATAGCATGCATTGACCCGATTTGCCATACTATTTATGAGGTTATAGTTACCTTCTACCCAAATGTTTGATGCTCTTGTTTAGCTTCACAAAAATTTGTTGTATGTAAAATTGATTTACTTTTCTGTGTAGTTTTCCTCTATAAATCTAAATTCGACTATTTGACCTTTTTCTATTTCCTCCTCATTTTATTAGTTCTTGTCATATTTTCAATTTTCGTCACCATTAACTGATACTTATGTTTAAACCTTTCAGCTATTTCAGTCAGTCAGTCAGTCAGTTGCAACGTAGAACTTCGTACGTATATACATAAGTTCATGTAGCCATACCACATTAACACAGAGACGCGAATGTCAAATCAAATCCCATAGTGATAAAGATAGTAGAGGTATTAATGGTAATGAAGAAGACTAGGGTTTGAAGATATTATTCAAGAAGTATAATTCAGTGTTATAAGGTTAGAAAAACAGAGGTAGAGGTGCTGACGAATCCAGAAGATTGGGATTTAAGAGAACACAAAGAGTGGATGCACTTGCGCCATTGCAAACGATTTTGAGCCATGTCGTTCAAGGTCTCTAACCATTGATGACTTTCGTCTCGCGGACCCCAACCAGGTAGTCTACATCTGCCAACATGACTCAGTCCACTTGTCAGTGACTTCATGGATTTCTGCCATGTTTTGGTTTCAGCTATTTATTGATCATGTCAATTTGTTTTTGTTTTACTGATGATGTGCAAATATATGTGAAGGGGTACGCAACCTTTAATTGATGGTACATGGATTTATACTAGTTGGTGGAATATAATAACCGTAATTTTAATAAAAATTTCAACATAGAAACTAGTTTTAGCTGTTATTTAAAGTAAAAGTTTAATTGATATATTTGGTTGATGATTGATTGTTTAGTGTTTGTTGTTAAAATAGGATTTTATCGATACATTAACAGATATTTATTTACCACATAGATACTACTATGTTTGTCTACTCTTGTAAAACGAGTAATCAAATAAAATACATAGTCAAGAATTTCTTGCATTATAACACGTGCTTTATAAAATATATATTATAGTATTGTATTTACATTGTAGAAACATGTGATTCCCACTAAAAAACAAAAAAAATAAGAAGATCCAACATTCATTATATATAAAAGCCTGATATGTATGATTTGAGTACTTACTACTTCCTCAAGAACACTTCTATTTCAAGTTAAGTAGTGAAGTAGTATGGAGTTGTTGTTAACAGTATTGTGATTGATTGCCTTTGGTATTTTCTTTTTTTATTTACTAATCATTTTATGAACGAAAACTAGGGGCGGTCAAAGCAAAACATGACACAAATCCATGAAGTCATTAATGATAAGTGGATTGATTCATGTCGGTAGGTGTCGACTACCTGTTTGGGCCCCATCGAGATTATAGTAATCGATGGTTAGAGACCGCCTGAATGACATGGATCAAAACCGTTTGCAATGGCGTAGGTGCATTCATTCTTTATGTTCTCCCAAATCCTGAACTTCTTAATTCCTCATCACTTTATCTCACTAGATTCTACTTCTTGAATAATATCTTCTAATCCTAACCTCTCAGATTACTGCTAATACTTCTACTACCTCTACTACTATGGGATTTGGATTGACAATTACATCTCTGTGCTAATGAGGTATGGCAACATGAACGAGTTCTAGGTAGGGATGGCAAATCAATAGATGAAGTAGTGAGACTTCATCAGTTGAGGTGGTTAGGACATGTGTTACGTACGGCTAACCACCGACTGCCGCGACGAGCTATGTTTTGCAGTGTAGGAGTAGATTGGAATAAAGCTAGGGGTGGTCAAACCAAAACATGGCACAAATGCATGAAGTCACTGACAAGTGGACTGAGTCATGTTGGTAGATGTAGGCTACCTGGTTGGGGTCCGCGAGACGATAGTCACCGATGGTTAGAGACCTTGAACGACATGGATCAGAATCGTTTGCAATGGCGCAGGTGCATCCACTCTTTGTGTTCTATGGAATTCTAAGCTTCTGGATTCGTCAACACCTCTACCTTTCTCCTTCTAAATTTATCTTACCGAATTATACTTCTCGAAACATATCTTCGCTCCCTAATCTTCTCCATTACTGCTAATACTTCTATTATTGCTATCACTCTTGGATTTGAACTGACAGTTGTGTCTCTGTGTTGATGGAGCATGGCAACCTGAACTGATGTACTTACGTATGAAGTTCTGCGTCGCTATTGATTACTGATTGATTTTATGAAGTAGCGGTTTCGCGTTTAGATCTCATTTGAACGTCAACCGTTTGACTACAGACTTAAAACCTCAATTTATCTTCAGCATAGACATGTAGAAGTATTTCTAGACTTCATACAAGTGTGTTTCCAAACTGAATACAAGAAATTTTGTTTAATTAATGGCTTATTATCGAAGTAATTATAATTTTTTCTTCGGCTTTTTCTAAATCGACCACAAAGTTTCTGATTTCAATAAATTTACAAACTCAATCACCATTCATTAGTAGTAACATAGCTTCTATGAAGCAAGAAACATTCTGTTAGTTTTAAGAAGTTCACTTATAGAATATGTTGTGGTGGTGTTTCGTTCTCTGAGCTGGATGTTGTTTTGCTTGTGTAGCTTTCATTGTTCTTCTGCTGAACAACATCATCAGTACAAACTTCAGATAGCAGAAGTGAAGTATTCGAATTTGACCTGTAGCTTGTTCTGCTAACCTCAATCTGGATTGATTGCGCTGTTGACCTTAAACCTATCGTTTTTTACACCTTTATTTAGATCATATCCTCCTTTGGATCTGTTTCTTGATCCTACGTCATTTATGATTTTTCTGATTAGTTGATAAATTGCGTCCATATCGATATGTTGCGTGCTGTGTTATTTCCCAATTATTCAATTCAACCAGTGAAACGTTTTGAATACTGCCCATGTTCAACTTCTAATCTATACGTGTTCAGTTGAATCAAGAGACTTAAAAGTTCATATTCTGAATAGTTGATTCCTATGGATATGAACCTGAGTAGAGAGAGTCATTGAAGAGGATGATAATAAAACGCTTTTGATTGATTACATTGTTTTGTTTTTTCTATGTTAAAACAATGTGTTAATTAATATTCTTGATTCACGTAATGAAATTGAACTCAAAACAAAAAAAAATTTGTCTCAATTTCAATCCATTTCAACTAGGTTGATTCTAATCTGTTGATTGAATCAAGTGTTTTGCATAAAAACATTCCAATGCATGTCACAGATCATTATGATAATCAATTTTTATGGTTGTATCTTTTTTTTCTAATTTATGATACATACAGGGGTTGTGAAGATTGGTAAGTTACACATTTTTGAAACCATGAATCGATCAATGTTAGACCACCATTAGAAACCTGGAAGCACTGGACGGCCGTTTCGTCCTGGTATGGGACTCCTCAGAAGTGCGCATCCACGACTCCTGCATCCCGCAGGATTCGAACCCAGGACCTTTGGTATTGTGGTCTAAAGGTTAGGGCGTTCGCTCACAATACCGAAGGTCCTGGGTTCGAATCCTGCGGGATGCAGGAGTCGTGGATGCGCACTTCTGAGGAGTCCCATACCAGGACGAAACGGCCGTCCAGTGCTTCCAGGTTTCTAATGGTGGTCTAACATTGATCGATTCATGGTTTCAAAAATGTGTAACATACCAATATGACAACAGTATGGAATAATTAGGCGGATACATATTTTGCGTATGGTTGTATCATTATTAGCTGTGTTTTTGTATACTGAATCTCTATAGTGTTTTTCTTGTGGTCCGCAGTATTATACCGGTAGTCTTTTTTTTAGTTTTTATTCGTTGACTTTTTTTAAAGATTGAATTTGATGTTTCGTTGTTTGGATAGATTAACAGGATATTGCTAGGAGTTTTAAGATTTTATCAGATTTTATGTACTAATTATATGATTTGAAAGCACCTAAAGCATTATTCTAATTTTGATGTTTTACAGATAGCGATTGGAGATTATTTTTAATTAGTGCAAGTAAATCAGTTGGTACATTACCAGATGGTTTGGAAGTTCGTCGAATTAGTCGGGTAACAGTATTAGTTTTGAATACAAATCCAGTCGGTGATCTGAATTTAAATGTGAGTATTGTTAATGTTTCTGTTAGTTATTTCATGAAAATATTATTATTCCTCGCACTTTGTTTGTTTGTTTATTTGTGAATATTGAAAATTGATCATAATAATATTCAAGATTTGATACAAAGATTGTTAGACTTTAAAGTTTCTTTGGAGCGTACAACTTTCATCTTTTTGAAGATTGAACTTGACACTTTCAAACTCTATAGTTAGAACGCTATTCTCTTAACCATTGAGGTTACTGCGAACAGCTGATGATTTCAAAATCAGTTACTGTCATCCTTTTTTTTGAGTATATTATGTTTTCATAACATAAACTAAGGTATATTTAACATCTGAAGTTCTATCTTCTCATTAGAACGATGAAGGTGAAGTAATTGAATCAACGATTCCGGTGGATAGTCTCATTTTGCATTTACGATCCGACTGTGTTAATAAAGTAATCATACCATATGAAGTAGAAATAAATCTTATGTCATAGCATTGTTTCATAAAAGACGAATAGATTGTGGCGGAGTTTCGTTCTGTGAGCTAGATGTTTTGGTTGTGGAGCTTACATTGTTCTTCTGAACAACATCATCAGCACAAACTTGAGATAGAAGTTTGGCACTCAGATCAATCAGCAATCAACAAACACATCGACACTGACCCAATTTACCAACCAATCAAAGTACACACACAAACATAGGACCAAAAAACATATGAAAAGGGAATACAATCAAAACAAAGCTGCAAACAATGACAGGTTTAAGGCCAATAGCAACCAATCAAGATCGAGGTTAATAGAACAAGCTACAAGTCGTACGTGAAGAAATTCGAATACTTCACTTCTGTTGTCTGAAGTTTGTGCTGATGATCTTGTTCACAAGAACAATGACAGCTTCACAACCAAAACAACATCCAGCTCAGAGAACGAAACTCCATCTTACTCATCCACCAGAGCTACAAATTTTATCTATCATCTCAAGAAAAGTACAAAGTATGGAGCCGAAACGATAAAGGTTGAAATTAGAGTCAGTCAATCAGGCAGTCAGTTAGCAACAAAGTTTACGATTGTATTGTTGACATTCTTTGTTTAAAAAAATGTTTACTCAGTATCTCACTATATTTTTTTTCTTGATGAACTAACTGAATCAATAAGAATTGATCTTCTCTCTACTTGAATTAGTCTGTAAAGCTATATTGCTTGATTTCATTAGTTTATTAAATTATTTTTACAAAATAATTTATTCTCTTGTTTAACATATCATACTATTGTTAATGTACAGTTGTTGTTTAACCTCAAATAAAAAAGAAATCACGAGTTATATTCATTCTTTTTGAAAATTGAATTCGTAAAATTTAATCGTAATGCATTAAGTAGGTGTTGTGTATTTGACATTGCTTTTATTTATTTCCTTGGAATACCTTGTTCATTGTCTAAAGATTATGTTCTTTTCAAATTTGTATGTAGTCGTGATGACTCACTACTGAGTGATGTTGGTAGATGTCGACTATCTGGTTGTGGTCCGCAAGATGATAGTATAATCGATGGTTAGAGACTGCCTGAATGACATGGCTCGAAACTGTGTGCACTGGCTCAGATGCATTCATTCTTTGTGTTCTCTCAAATCCTAAACTTTTTAATTCTTTATAATTTTATCTCTTTCTTTTTAAGTTTATTTCTCTAGATTCTTGAATAATACCGTCGAACCCGAAAATTTCAGATTACTTCTAATATTTTTACTACCTCTACTATTATGAGATTTGTATTGACAATCCCATCTCTCTGTGCTAATATGGTATGGCCACTTGAACTGATGTACCTACGCGCATACGAAGTTCTATGTTGTTGACTTAACTTAACTCACTAAACTAAGAAGTCTCAAGCTGTAAATGTGACAACTGTTCAATCCTTTTCAGCATTTGTTTTAAGCCTATATCAATTCTTGACGAAAACAATCTTCAGCTTGAATTGATTCTCCATAGACAGTCATTCAATTATAATATGTCTTGTACAAACCATAATTATCATATATATATATATATATATATATATATATATATATATATATATATATATATATATAGCTTATTGATCGCGTTCATTGTTCTTTCAAGTAATTTGATTAACTGTCAAAAAGAAGAAAAAAGCTACTACTACTATTTCATCAATCCATAATTAAAGTTTGTTTTTATAAAAGATTATGATTGTTTGACTAAACTCAACTTCGTCTTAAATTCTATCAGAGTAGTTAAATGAATATGATAAGCTTATTGATAAATTCGACTTTATTAGTCAATCAACAAAATCAGAAGTTCGTACGTATGTACATTACTTCAAGTTGCCATACCATATTAGCACAGAGATGTAACTGTCTATTCAAATCCCATAGTAGTAGAGTTGGTAGACGTATTAGTGGTAATCGTAAATTCCGGGGTTCGATGATATTATTCAAGAAGTAGGATCTAGTGAAATAAACTTAAGCTAAAAAAATAAAGTTGATAAGAAGTTCAGAAGATTAGGATTTGAAAGAGAACACACAGAATGAATGCACCTACGGTACTGCAAACGGTTTTGAGCCTCCGCCTGTAGACCCTCCAAGGCTACTGCTGGTCCCAATCCCGGGTAAAGGAGGAGGTTTGGGATTGGGGTTGACGACCCTATCCCTCGAAAAACCAACTCGCTAAAGCAACGCTAACAAGAAAACATAATTCCCACCATTTAGACTCTACTCTGGGAGTTAGGTCTTCATTTAAAAGAGTTACGACGTCTCATGATGAAAGCCGAGTTCCTTCGGAAGTCACGAGTCCGATGCCCTCTCTGACAATCAAAGCCCTACTATAGTGTGGGCAGTCGGTAAGTAACATCCGCCCTCATACCCGTAAAAACGTATGAGACCAAATCAAGTCTAATTATGGTAAAGCAGAATTGTTTTTTTACTAGATTACCATATATTTAGAAGTATGACCTTGTAGAAATTATGTTGTCTAGCTTCTGTGTGTTATTTATTTACAAATAATGTCATTGCATCAATTCATTGAGTCACTTAATTCATCGCATACCATTTTTTATTACTGTCATATATATGGAACTATCATTTTGGTAGAATAAAAACATCTTACTGTAAATGGTCTTTTTTTCTTCAAACAAACAAAAAACCAAACTGTTCAATACGTTTAGACGTTGAACACATAAAAACTAAATGATAAATTTGTTTCGGAAACAAATAAAAATATTATATGAGGAGTCCCATACCAGGACGAAACGGCCGTTCAGTGCTTCCAGGTTTCTAATGGTGGTCTAACATTGATCGATTCATGGTTTCAAAAATGTGTAACTTAACAATCTTCACAACCCCGTAATGCAAATAATCAATTGTTATAGTTCTCCGTCTTATTAAAACCCAGCTATTTCCTAATGCTTAGTTATTCTCGGATATCAACCAATTCACTTGAAAAGGTTCTTTCAAAATCAGAACACGGTTAAATAGGAAAATGATATATATTCCAATAACAAGGTCGGATGAATGACGGAAGGTCCAAAGGAAAAAGACGTTAGTATATTTATAGTTATTAGATGGTGGAGAAAACTTGTAGCTCAGGTGGATGATTGTGGTGGTGTTTTGTTCTCTGAGCTGGTTGTTTTGATTGTGGAGCTTTCATTGTTCTTCTGAACAACATCATCAGCACAAACTTCAGATATAAGTGAAGCATTCGAATTTCTCCACGTTTGACCTGTAGCTTGTTCTGCTAACCTCGATCTTGATTGGTTGGTTTTGACCTTAAACCTTAAAGCTTTGATTGTATCCCCCTGTAGTGAATGAGAACACAGGTGGAGGCAACCGAATTGTATTTAACGAAAATTACAGAGTTACTCAGTAAAATCGGAAAACCATATCGTAAATTGTTCATTTGCAAAAGATCAGTTCATCCTATGGAACTGCACTGTTCCTGTTGCCAAACATCAATCCATTGTCACTCTTCATGCGTTTCATACAAATTCCATTGTTTTCTGACTCTTCCTTTCTTGATCTTCCCCCCATATTATGCTACCAGACTTTACGTTGACACTCACGCTATATACTACTTATAAGTAGTTCGCACCACAGCACCACACCCCTTTTTTGATCTGTTTCTTGATCCGCTGTTAGCAGATGATTTTTCTGATTGGTTGATAGACTGGGTCAATGTCAATATGTTTGTTGATTACCTGAGTGTCAAGCTTCTAAAAATTCCCTAGTGCTCTTTGTGCTCCCCCTATCCAGTATTTCCACATTGTTTCAGTCGAACGTGTGTCTATAGCTGTTCGCATGTTGTCTTGGCGTTTGACTGCTAATTGGTGTTTACGTAAACAAGGCTAAAGAGCCGTCCACTTTGTTCTATGTAGTGTTTTTCACAGTCTGAGCAATTTATTTTGTAGATGATATTTGGTTTTTCTTCATTTGTCATTTTGTTCTTTGGTCTATATAGGATCGATTGAAGTGATTCTGTTGGTTTTTGTGCCGCACCTATTCCAAATGGTTTCAGTAGTTGTGCTGTATGTTCCGATACGTCTTTTATGTATGGTAGGATGATCAGTACCGGCTAGCGCTGATTGATTGAGAAAGATCCAATCAGCGTGCAACAACGCAATCATACTTTAATCCAATCTATGTCTCACAAACAATAATGAATGGGAACAATCAGTAGTGGTACATTAGGGATGTATGCCTAGCCATATTGAGAACTTGTCAAGTGGATGTACTTGTGTTCTTCTAGTGTTAACGTTTTCCTATATAAATATTACTTTCTTAAAAGATCTACTAAACGACTGTTGTTGATTTTTAATCTTAAGCACAATGTATATGAATGTTTGCAGCTTCTGAGTTGGATTATTTTCAAGATTATATCCAAAAAATTATGATACCATGCCATAAACTGATCAGTTGTCTAATTTCTTGTTCGCTTATTTACAGCACCATTAAACAACAGTTTCTTTTTGTGTGTTAAAATCTACTAATTAAATATTGGCGAGACATTTT